TTCAATATCTTCAGGTAATTTTTATCTGATTCCGTCAAGTCAAAGAAGGAAACAACAATTCTGTTGCTCCATACATCGCACCATACCAGTGAATAGGAATCTTTCGAAGGATGGCTCCCAGCTCCTTGAAGGATCTAACTAATGAAGATTTGTCGAGGACAAGCACAGAATTTTGACAGTTTATTTCGCCGGAAATATAAAAATTTATTTCATCAGAGAAAAGAATTTGTTACGGAAACGTACCATAGTTCTGCATGCCCATTCTCAGAATTGAACGTGCCTATCAGGATTATCTTCACTTAAATGCTGGTAGAATTGAAGTGTGTACAGATGCAAATGATGAAGCCGTGCGATTAAGATAAGATAAATGCTGCTCCTGAAGATCCCATTTTTCTGGTATATGCACCGAAAGTACTTAGAACTGACCTGGTTGGAACTAGTTTCCTCGTTCTGTGGTCCACTGCGCGGCCTGTCACTTGCACTCTGTAAGTTTGATATAAGTTTGCCAACACAGCTGCGTGTGACTGGTGTGCTGTCTGGATGCAGCCTATTAAAATCTGTAACTTCACTCTGACTGAAGATCCCATCATCAAAATAACTTAAATTCATTTTTGCTCAGTGCTATGTTTTACCCATTAAAGACTAAACAAAGATCAATATAATACCTACAGTTTCTGACTTACGACACATCCTATATATTTAGTTAGCTTCTTATCATCATATATTTTTCTTCTGAATATCCTTTATAAAAGTGCGGCATGCTTTATTATTCTTTAAACGTCTGTATGCAATAAAAAATATTATATTTTCTGTATATTTATGCATTTAAAATAATATATTTAATTTATTTTTACTCTTTAAATAATTTTCTAAAACTGTATTTACTTTTAATTATCTTCCGAACTTTTTTACTGAAAATCCTGTTTAAAAGTGAATGCATTTTAAACTCGTAGCAATAGAATATTATTAAAAATTATTTTTTTATTCGATTTTTTTTCAAATGTAATACTAAAATTACATAACTAAAGAATTAACACATAAACTTACAATTAATTTATATTAATACTTTAATCTTTCCCAGTTTAAAGTCAAAGATATTTAAAATATATATTGAATATATATGCGATAAGAAATTTAAAAGATTTAAAATCATAATTTCTATTCGAGTTTCGTCAAATTTAAGAGTATAACAAATTAATCATTGTAACAACTCAGAATTTTTGTTGACGCACCTGATATATTCTCACAACTTATAATTAATTACAACCTAACGATAAAAGTTTCTAGCTTAATTATTATGTAAAATAAAAATTTTATAAATTATAATCACGTATATGTATATAAATTATTTAAGAAATAAAATTTAGGTTTTATTGATTAATCATTTTTCAATAGGAGCTAATTCTAGCATATTTTTAGCATAATTTTTTTTTTATGTTAAAATGCTTTAAAATTAGAAAATATATTTATTTATTTATTTAATTAGCTCTAATTTAGAGGAAATAAACTTAATAAATGTTTAAATATTATTTTAAAATGTTTAAAAATTTTTTTCTGTAAAAATATTAGAAAAAAAACCTCAAAATGTGATACTTTTATGTTAATTTATATTATTTTCAGATAATAAAATGCATTATATTTAATTTTGTGTATAAATAAGGAAGTAATATGTTACATTTTTCTAGATTTTTTTTTAAATTTAATTTTTTGAATATTTTACATTCACATGAAGAAGTGTTGTTGTCATACAGGACGGTGTGGATACGTGCACGTTATATATAATGACTATAAATTTAGTTGTCAGAAGATGATTAAATTTAAATGCAAAGAAAAGCTGCCAACAGAATTTTGAATACGAAGTTTGAATGGAGTAAAAATTGAACTGGTCAATGAGTCCGTGTTGCTTTGTTACATCATAGAAGCGTAAGAAGCTAAAAGTGGACAAAGGTTACGTTACTCAATGTATTGATAGAATAACAGCAGCATATGAAATAAGATATATAAGAAAGCCCATGTAGAGAATTTAGTGTTGAAATGTATAAAAAAAATTGCCTAGAATGTTGAATAAAAAGAACACAGAATCATAAAGATTATAAGAGAGAAATAATAATAGTAATAATAATAATAAGGCTAGTAATTTTGTTTACAATTTAAAAATATACACTAATGTAATTATATAATGGAGAGCCAATAAACTAAATTGCTATATTAAGGATGTTATTTTATGTATTCGCTTTTTTTTTATTGGGTCATGTAATTCCAATGGGAAACGATACAGAATTACGAATGTATATATGTTAACAAGATGTCTGTTGTACAATCTGGTGAATGGTACCCCGAAGCTCTTCATTAAATAAAACAAAACTTGAAAAATAAAAAATAAAAACTCAAAATTAAATAGAATTTCAAAGCAAAATTTTATTTATAATACAAACATTTAAATGTATTATTATTTGAATTAATTATAATCGTTATATAAATCTCACAATTAAACTTTTAAATGTCTATTAATGTATTGTTTATTTTAAAAATTATGTTATTTATATTCAAATGTGAGAAAACAGGAAGAAGTCTTTGACCTCTTGAGATGTTTTTTTGATCATATATGCGTAAACATTAAGCTGGATCTTTGGATAATTTCTGTTTGTTGTTGTTACAACTTTACAAACCTTACAAGCAATAGTTTGAAAGGTTTGTAAAGTTGTAACTACTACAAACAAAAATAAAGACATTCGGAAAGATCAAAGTCAATACTGAAAAATCAATTCCAAAATAAACCTCTCCCTGTTATATTAAAGCTAAATGTTTAAATTTAAGTCATTGATTTAATAAATGTTTCTTTTTTAATGATGATACTGAAGAAAATATATCATAAATTGTAAGATTTTATTTAAAATTAGAAGCGTTATTCTTCAATTTATTATTTTAAAAAATAAGTAAAAAATATAAAAATTATTTTTTAAGATGAACAGAATTGTATATTCCTTTAATAATTTATCTAATTAAATTTAATTTTTAGAAAAACAATTTATCGATATTTCTGATGTATAAATTTTATTCATATTTTTTTCTTTAAGAATTTTTTTAATTTATTGTTAAATTTTATATCATTCTCTAATATTTTAAATTACTGATGTTATGGTATTACTGACTCGAAATATCTTTGTGCCATTAAATCCCAATCGAATTTAATCTTAACTGTGCGATCAATGATGCGACTGCTAAGGAAGAACAATGAAGTACAGATGTTTTTTTCCACTCGAATTTAAGAATTATTACTATTATCAATTCATAACCAGAAGATCCATCCATTGAGAACTCTATTATCAATTTTTCTAATTATATATCTCTAGATACCACACATACCTTCGTAGATTCCAAAGATATTTTCGTACAGAATCTATAAGAATATTGGGTTTAGTAATCAATACATAAGTCAATCCTTCTGGTAATATGCTGCATTTTACGTTTCTATAGATATAATATAGAGAACCAAGTGAACATATGAGCATTTATTGGATGTAGTTTCTCTCTTCTCTTTGACATTTATGATAAATATATAATATAAGGAAATGTTTAAGTCTCTTACATAAAAAATATAGTCATGTTAGTTATTCTACTTATAATTATTAAGTATAGATTTTTAAGTGAATATTATATTTTTAAATATATATTTTTGTATATGANCGACCCCTCGGACCAATTACCTAATCCCCGATGATAATAATAATAATAAATTAAAATTATATTGCTTCTATTTTGTATAAATTGTTTCAGGATTTGTCTATGAAAGATTTATTTTTTGTGTTAAATTCTCATTAAATTTAAGAATAATATTTACATATTTTTTTTTGTAAATAAACAGCATCAAGTTATTTATATAATTAATATTCAGTACTAAACATTAGAAAGACAATAGCACAATGAAAAGAGGTTCAGATTAGAGGTGAAGGGAAGGGGAAAATAACGAAGGATCATTTTTATTCTATTTTATATTATAATTACGGTTAAATATAATCAATACAACAGACCTAACATCGTTCTTTAATTTTAAATTAAATTATTATTAATGGTGTAGGATTCTGGATATACATTTTAATATAATTGTTGAATGGAGAATTGTACACTTTCATGTTTATAAAATATATCTGTACAACTCTTTCATATAAGATATATTGAGATGTATATATATTTTGCATAGACTTATATAATAAACGAATAAATTAAATAATAATAATAATAATATACAATGGAAATTATTATTTAGATCCAAATTGTTCATTATCTTTATTAATTATCTGCAAATTGAAGATGGTCTAGTCGTATGTTGTATAGTAAATAATATTAAATTAACCCATAACTTCTATTTTTATCAGGGAAAAAAACTTAATTATAATTATAAATATATATTTTAAAATTATTTTTTAATTAGGAAAAGTATTTTGTGTGTTTAAATCATTTATCTTCCCAAACTTGCATTTCTGTTGTAAACAAATTAAATTTTGCTTGAAGTAAATGTAGCGTGATACTTACTCCTACGTTTAAATGATATAATAAACACGAATTGACTCGGAATCATGAATAAAATAATCATATATAAAAGTATTGAACTCTATAAATTGCACGCTACATTTATAATTAGAATAGTTTCTCCACGGATAGAAGTTATCTAGCGTAAAATTTCAAAGCTTTTAACTTTAAATTTTACCCTAAACAGGATAGAAATATGATTATAAACTCAGCGGGAGCAAGTTACAAGAATAGAAACGTGATTAAATAGTCTAAAAGTCGATCCAACCTTCTATAGGCGACAAGCATATCAATGACCCTTCTAAAATTGCCAAGCAAGAAAATTTAGTTAATTTAATTCCAAAGGGAGAGAATTTAATTAGTTTATAAAGCTATTAAAATTTAAAAATAAGATTTTAAACGTTTAAAACTTTGTAATTTTAACTAGAATGTTGAATCTATAAGTGTCTTTTTCTTTTGTGTCAATTAAATCTAAAATAAGAGAGAATTTTTGTTTTTTAATTTTTAAACAATAAATTAACTTAAACAAACATTTAGTTTATTTAAATGTATTTTTTTTCCTTCTTTAAATTATACATAAATTCATCATTAAGGCAGTTTCGATATTGAACTGATGTAAATGAATCTGCGAATCATGTTATGGAAAAAAAATCGATTTTGTTGCTTTTATTTTATGTGACTGATGTTAACTATAAATGAATGAATGAATGATGATGCTATGAGAAAAAAAATGAATATTTTTGCTTTCTTTTAGATGTGAAATTACAATACATACAATAAAAGATTAATGAAGATATATTTGAAAAGACTTGCTAAACCGAAACTCCATTTTTTTGTTTGCAGATTGTCATACAAAGTCTGTAATTTAATATATTTATATATATATTTATTTATTTATATGTTATTATTATGTATAGCGGACTGCAACGTTTGATAAACATAGATGAATAAAATTGCAGTTTAAAAACTTTTTCTTTTCATGTTTACTATAAATCATTCTTCCATGATTTAGGATTAGAATCCAGGTCTATCACATGATCTCTCTCTCTGCTAGAATCGGGAAAAGAATCCCACTGTCTGTTTCTGTGAGGAGCACATTCTTCACTTGATAAATTACCACTTAGCTGGCCTATAGTAAACCTAACTCTGTCCCTTGTAGGGCAATTGGACGATAGTTCCGGTAGACATTTCCACGTTAAGTCCGTCTGGGTGGAACATGTGGAGGATTGCCTTGGAGCGGAATTGCTATTTGGATTTTTTGAAGGGCATATTTGCTGTAGAAGATTTAAACTGGTTCGAACGTTATCCGATAAAGATGTGACATCTTGGGATAATACCGCGATTTGGTTATCCAGCCTCTCAACGCTACTTCTCATCATCTCGATCTCTTCACGGACTTCGAAACCTTCCCATGCTCGACCTGACAAAATTATACCAATTTAATTAAATAAATTCATAAAATTTATAACGTTTCTAACATTTTCTTCTTTAGATATTTTGTATAAATTGTATACATCTTATACAAAATCAGAAGAATAAAATTCCCACCTAAGTTAGGGTGTGTTGCTGCAGGACGGAGTTTTGTTGATCTACATGAAGATACTAAACGACGATACAGAGGAGTTGATGGACTGGAATTCCTACAGTCGTCTCTGTATAAAAATAGACAGGATATATATAAACATTGGCTCATTTATTTTGTATAACAGAATTACGAGTTGGCTACAAGATACTGCACTTACCCTATACCATAATGTGGCCACTGTCTTCCTACTCCACTCGGTGGTGACACAGGTGCTGTATCATCTGTATCATTTGTTTCATCATCTTCAGATATAGAAGGCAACGTAACGGATGGAGCTACATTGTTCTCCTCAGCCTAAAGGTCGAAGATAATGGTTAAAATGTAACTAAATATAGAATCTTATCTTATCTAGAATGCCAAATATTGTATACCCACCTCGTTTTCGTAACCTTCACGTAGGTTAAAAGTTAAATCGTGAACGATATCGTGACAAAATGTTTCATCAAATTCCGGATAGAGACGAAGAACTTCTATTAAACCGGGTATATATATACATTTTAAATCACAATACGTTAATGCTTTGACATCACTGGTTGATTTGATTACACTGTCTGTCATTTTTGTACAAATATCACATCCTACTAAATCCCCTTTTCCTGTAAATTGAAATTAATTACAAAAGATATAAACTAAATGTCTTCAGTTGTAAATATATATCATTACATTTCTCTCATCTGTGTAATGAAGTATTATGTAACAAACAATTGTTTCCTGTTTTTTTTAATTTGTTAATGTTAATTCATGATTAATAATCATTAATTTTTAGTAAACAATGTCGAGTGAACAACGAACAAATATAAATTACGCGCACAAATTAATTATGTAGAATACCCAGAAGATTGTTAATTTAATGAAAATATTTTGCACAATGCAAATGAAATCTTCCATTATATATGAAACAACTCTTATTGAATCTTTTATTTTATGTTTTAATCTATATTATACAAGGAATGACAAATTCACCAGACAATTGTATTGATGATATTAGATCAGGTTTATGTTGTGTTGAACTTTATCTAATATAATTATTTATAATTTCGGGCATAAAAATAAATATTTTTATATCTATTATACGCACTTCTTTCTTATGATTTGACCACCCCCATAAGTTTCTATGTCCGGCGATGTTGAAGAAAGTTTTCAAGAGACAACTCTGAACATGAAAAGTTAGATAACTTTTAAAAAATAAGGGTTTAAGGTATTATAAGATTCAACAAGTAAAAATTATTGTGATATCGTCACAATACTGGGCTGCAATTTTTAATTATATTGTTAATTTATTTAATTTAAAATATATGCTCTCGATCTTAATTAGTATCTTACCCCTGTACATCACACTTTTCCTGATAACAGCAAAGTCGTGCAGGCCATCTATGTATCTCCGTTCTTAGGAAAATTTTGAATTAAAATCATGTAATTTCCGATCTAGACCAGTTCTTATATAGTTAATCAGGGATTCCTGTCCTTACTCTTTCCATGTTTAGTCCGACTTTCATCTATCTAACACCATTCTCGAGATTCAGGAAGGACAGATAACAAATAGACAGATGACAGAATTTATAGGTCTACACTACAATTTTTTCAAATTTCATCCCAATAAGAAGCTGTTTAATAAATTACACAAGATTATAGATTCTACAAAGATTCATCAAGATTGAACAGTCAATTCAGACTTGTCAAGTCAATAATCGTTCAGAAATTTGTATTTTTTTTAATAGAAAATTTAATGTAATTTTTAAGATTTACTAATCAACAAACTCACAAAATTTAACTATCTAGTGACTCGTATACGTGTAAAGTATGTGTAATTATAATTATTTTAAAGCTTCTATCTCGTTAAATATAAACTTTACTCTTACACAAATAGTATCAGTTGAAAATTCTCACCTAATATTGCTACAACCATTCCATCTTGCAAGATTTCCATTGAGCCGTTGCAGACTAAATGAATATTGGTCAATGCATCCCCTTTGTGGACGAGGTATTCTCCAGGTGCACAGAAATTGCTTTTGATGTGTCGAGATAGAAGTTTCAGGCATCCTTGAGGTGCTGTTTCGAAAATTGGTAAAGAAAGGATTTCCTTATGAAGATGCATTGAAACGTCGCCTCTCAACTCATCAGGAAATTCTCTTAATACCTAATATAATTTAATATAAATAATATATGTTTGTACATTTATAAGCGAGAAAGATGTAAAATTTAAGTTTAAAAATAATTAAATAAGATTCTACATCAATTAATTGTTACTATGCTTTGCAAATTTATTTAAAGTTTTTATTGTTAGGCAAAAAAATTAATTAATTTGTGTAAATTTTTATGACTTTTTTATAATTATTATATAGAAAATGCTTGAAGTATTTGTGTAATTTCTATACAATTGCTTGACTCCTACATTGATTTTAACATTGTGAATAAGTAGCAACTGTAGATACGCTTGTTTAAATATTAATCAAACAATTGTAATTACTAGGAAATTTAATAAAAATGTCCAAAATATTATTTAAATTTTTAATTTTTAAAAATGGATAATAACAGTTAAAGAAAATCAATTTTCAAAATTCTTAAATAATTAATTAAATCAGAAAGAATCTAAAAAAAGACTTATGTGACTTGGTCGATATGCTAAAAAGGTTCCTCCCGGAGGTATTTCTAAGGGAAACGCCTCTATTTAGGTGTTAGACACGTTTAGAAATCCCGAGAAATTGCACGTTGTCAGTCGTGAACCTGCGATCAGTGATATTTAGGCAATCTGCTGAATGGGAATCCCTCCTGGGAAAAATTTCTACGGAAAACGCCCCTATTTAGGTGTTAGATATGTGAAGAAATAGCGAAAATCTGCACGTTGATAAAGCGCTATTGATAATAATGATAGTCTATATCATTATTGATAGTCTAAATAGAAAAAGTCAAGACGGAGTAAACATTATATCTTAATCTCACAAAGAACACAGAAAATTTTTATTTTAGTGTATCATTTATTAAAGTGAAGATCCTATTTTAGTTCAAATGCAGAAACTTTTAGACCATTACCGTTTCTAAACCTTTAAATTTGAGTGCATGAAAATTTTATTGTTGAGCTCTTCAGAATCTGAAAAATTCATTAGAAAGTCTCTTATTTATGAAGTTCCTATGAAATATTACAATATGATTTAAGGATTTCTTTCTTAATAAAATATAAATACTTAATTTTTTGCAGTAAATCTTTGGTAATCTAAAGAAAAGAAAAAAAAACTCTTCTAATTTATCAAGAAATTAACAAAGATGAAGAATTTTTAACTTCGTTATATTAACTTGTATGTAACACTATTAGTAAGTATGAAAAAATTAATTTTCCTTATAGATGTGATCTCAGTTTATAGAAATTAATTATTTTCTGTAAGGATTTTATATCCTTTATCCTCTTGAATTAGCCTTTTTTACCAGGACCATTATATATAAGTATTAAGATTAATTCGAATTTTGATTCATGGAATCTGAAAGAAACTTGTAGTAAATTTCTCATATTCTATATTATAATATAACAAGTTTCGAAAGTAAATTAATGAATTCTTCGTCATGAATATTCATTAATGAATGCACATTTTATTATTTGATATGCACTTTTCTCGCTAGAGGCGTAGCCTTATGAAGAAATGTAATTAAATAATGTCTCTCCCTCCTCCTCTCTCATATATATATATATATATATACACACATAATTTAAAGATTCAATAATGTTTTACAAGAAATTTTTTGACAGTTGAAACTGGTTTTCGTTGCATTTTAAAAGAGAAAAATAACAAGAATTAAAATATTATTATCCTTGTGTAAGTTATATCGATCATTACGATCTCGTCATCTGTGTTTGACATCATTTCTATTTGTATAAAATGTATGAATATTATTTATTTATTAACTTAAAAAATTATTATTCTAACTTTAGAATAAGTTAAAAAAAATTGAAATTGGTCCAAGAAAATATTTTAAATTTCGAATTAGTAGGGCCGGATGACCGAGGAGGTTAAGGTGTCAGCTTACAGCTCTGGGGGGACCCGGGATGGTTTCCGCGCAATCAAAAATCCCCAAAAATTTTTTGAAACGGGGCACGGATTTGTAGGGCCTGGTTTCTTAATATATTGTTGCCACCTCGTGGGCATGACTGAACACGTAATGTATGATTAAAATGACCCTCTTAATGCCTCTTTATGGCAGAGAAAGTAAAAAAAATCGCGAATTATTTTTTTATAAATTCAAATTTTTGATTTTAATTAAAGAAGAAATTCATTATAAATATTTTAAATTGGAAGGATTTAAAAGGAGCAAAATACCCGCTTTTTTTACAATAATTTTTGTAAAAATTACACTTGAATTCTAATTAAGCGCTTAAAAATGAATTAAATATTCATATTTTAATTCCCAAGAGATCAATAAATGGATTCAAACAAGAAGTTTCGAGAGAAATGCAACATTAATGAAGAAATTTTCAAATAATATTCGAGAAAGATTTCTCAATTTTCTTTTTAATTATTATTATAATGTAGAATTTACTGATATTTACATATAAATATCTTTAAAACGTTAAAAAAAATTTATCAATTTTAAAAATTCACATTACTTCAATCCAGATATTATAAATATTCATTCAAAGAATATAAATTAAAATCTGTTTAAACCAGAACTGCATCGTTTTTTCCATTTAGGCAAATTTTCGTTTTATATAGGTTCCGTCTTATACAGGTTTCACTGTATATTGAAATTATATTATTCCACAATCGAAATTCGAAATGTTAAGTTTTAAAACCTTTGAAATATGTTCAATTTAAATACATTAAAGTACATTAAATCGACAATAGAATATTAAGAAGTAAATTTATCAATTAACTGGGTTAACTGACTTTTAGGTCCTTTATATAGATATAATAAAAGATAAATACGGCATAAAAATTAGGTAACAGGATTAACTGACTTTATATTATCTCGGTTAACTCATTTTTGAGCCACCCTGAATGATAAAAAAAATAAGAATTTTCGTTTTTTAAATTAATAATATATAAAATTTAAATCGAATTATATAACGTATTTATAATTAAATTTATAAATTGTATTTTTTTTAAAGGAATTATTATAAAATAAAATAAAATGACCTCGTTCAGATCAATCCCATGATTAATACTCCAAGTAGTTTGGAAATAATCGATCATCCTTTGACGAAGTTGTTTCGGAATTTGATGCAATTTAAAAAAATCTTTCAAATCTCTTAGCTTTGTCTGATACAAAGAACGTCTCGAATACATCCTTTGAATAATTGCCGTAACATTCCCAAAAACGACAGCGTGCATAAGTGCTGAAAAAACCAAGAAGGGTCATGTTAGTTTACACACCACCCCCTTTACTCACAATTTAATTACGTAAAAAAACAAACGTGTGACGTAATTTAAAGTTTCTTACCTCCTATTAACATAGTTAATATGGAAAATACTTTCTCTGCATTAGTATTTGCTGATACGTTACCAAAACCGACACTCGTCAAGCTGCTTGTTGTGAAGTACAGAGCCGTGATGTATCGTGTTGCAGTGTCCGTCTGATTGACGAATTTGTATCCTAGCTTTAATGCCAATTGACTGACCCACCCTAGACAAGAAAAAAAAGAAGTAAAAATTGTGTATAAATATCAGAAACAATTTGTTGATTAGTTGTAAGAAAATATAATATATTGCATGCACATATATATTATAATAATAATAATGTAAACGTAGAATTAAAAATAATTTAAAGTTTTAAATATAGTTTACTTCCAAAAAATTTATATTAAATTTATAAATTTCATTTTAAGATAAAACATTCGTGACTTAAGTGCACTTAAAAGAACGGGTAAGATCTTTATATAATCTTGTTAAGCGACGGCAAGACAGTCAATTTTGCCTATAACCCATTAGTATCCATACTTAGCTTTCGTGACATGTCTAAATGCTATTAAGATAACATTTAACTCAAAATTATTATTATCCTCCTTAGAATTTAACACACGATACATGTATATATACACTACATTTATATGTATAAAACTTCGCTTCAGTTCCAATATTAAATTAATGTAGAATATTTTAAAATATTTCTTACATAAAAAGAAAANCGTGGCGCTACGGACGGCGGGAAAGTAGTTCGGCTGCCCGATGACGTTTCAGGTGTTTATAGGGAGCTTTTACTATTTTTTACGGATACCGGTAGCAATTTTTTCGTAGTTTTATAGGAATCGTAATTATAGGGACCGTAATTATAGGGGGGTCGACTGTATAATAGATCAGGAAAAGTAAAAAAGAAACAAAAATTATTGATACAAATTATCATTAATGGGGTTTTTATAGTAAACAGAGATCAACGGAAAAATTAACGTACTTATTAATCAATAAAGAATTATTTTAAACACAGTATAATCAGTATAGTAAGCACCGAGCAGAGATAATTGCATTACATGTTTTGATCTATAATTTTGTTACGATCCAATTATTAATGAAGATGCTTCTATTTTTCTACTAAATGTATTATAAGAAATAATCTTCTAACTAAAGAAAAGCAACTTAATTAGCGATATCGAAAATTAAAAATCTTAAAGTCTTACATTATTTGCCGCCGTGTTTTAAATCACACGATAAATTTTGTCATTAAAAATTAAGCGAGAAAACATCTGTTTAAATTATTTACAAAATCCAGTACATATATACTCCAATTAGTATTTTAATTCTTAACTATATATTTTGAAATATTTATCCTGTAGATTAAGGAAGTTTCTCCTCAGCTATATATAAAAATGTACAATTTTTTTTCGAAAAATATAATTTGCAGTAATGATTTATTCTCTTATAATTATTATTTATCAATAGATAGAAATGAAAAGTAACGATATCTGTAGAGTCATAGCATAAGGCCTCGTTCCATCCTAAAAAAAATACTTAGTTAATTGATGGAGAAGGGCCTTTTGTATCTTCTCCACCAATAGAAAGAAACCTCCACTATACAAGAAGCCCTTTCATCACAAATAACTAAATCTTTAAGTCAAATTTTCACATAAACTAAACAATCTACAGATTAGAACCTCGCTGAATCCCCAAAATTAACATATAATATCTATTATTGTTTGGTGGAGAAGAAGATCCTCTTGTATATTATAGTTAAGCGCCGCAACTTATCTAAATATCTGTAAAGAGTATATATTTATAGCGATTTAAATTATATAAATATATTCTACAAGACTTTCTTCATTAAAAGCAATACGTAATTTTTATTTATTTATTTATTTTCTCATACATTTGGTAATGATATAAAGCTTAATAATCATTTTCTAGAATATTTTAACGCATTTCTCACGCGAAATGCATTAAAAATGTTATCTTAAGATGATGACCTGTTCGTGATCAAGAATTATCCTTGGCCGATTTCTTTTTTTTATTCTTATTTTTTCAAAAGATTCATGTCCAATTAATTCATTTTACTGATGGTTTACCGTATAATCCATTTTTTTAGAACACGTTACAGTTTATAATAAAAGAATCCCGTTTACAAAATTAAGTTTTTGGATTTTGCAATTGGGGGATTAAGTCACTTAGAATCTTTAACACATAACTTAATTGGAAAATCGATAAAAATGTGTATAAATTTAGAAGGAAAAAGGTAATTCTGTTAAAGTTCAAACTAACTAGTAAATTACTTCACGAAAGAAATGTGATAACAGTAATTTTCAAGAACTATCTTAACTTTTAAAGAATTTTTTTATGGAAAAAAATGATAAATTTCTCCAAAATATTATCCATAAATTTTTAAATTTTTCCCCCTAAAAATATTGAAAAATATTAAATTTAATATACATAAAATATATATAGGCCTATATATAGTTTGAAGAAGAGCATAATTTAAAAAGTTAAGCGGATTTATTAATAAATAAATAAATTTGTCTTCTTTAGAATTAACAATAACATCTTATAAATCATAGAAATTTGCATTAAGTTATTTAATATTTTTTGCCTTTAAGAAGAAGAATTTGATAATCCCTTTCTAGAATATGGAAATGATGTTCTATTTAAAAAATGTTTTAAAATATTAACAAGGTAAAATGCCTATTTTAAAGTTGAGGTTGTTTTGTTCGCTTATACGTATTTGAATTTTCATGGCACCATTTCGTTTTACAGCCTGACATAAAATAGATACGTGCGAAAATGTGTAAGTAATCCTAAAATGCGACATCCAATTTTAAGAGATGAATCATTTTAAAGAAAATATAATAGTTTATTCGGTTTACATTTTACGGTGAAATTTTTAATAGTTTTAACCTTTTTTTCCATGAATAATTTATATGCCATTCTTCGTCAATTATATATTTAGACATGAAATAAAATATTAAAAAAAATATATATATATTTATTTTCTTTTAACATCCTATAGATTTAAGTTTCGAAATATATATAAGAATATTATATAAATCCCAATATTTTATTTCGTGCACAAAAATTCTGTAAAGAAATAAATTATTTTACAATAAAAGATATTTATTGTGAAATTTGCAATTTTTTTTTGTATGTTTTAAATTTATAAAAATATCGTTTAAACAAATAAATTTTTTATTAATAATATGGAAATTAGCAGTAAAATTTTTCAAAAACTACATAAACGTAATAAAACTACATGAAACTATATAAATCTGTTCAAACTATACAATTAAGTTACATCAAAATATACAGATACGTTTAAATTATGCGATCACACCGTATAAAAGTGTATAGATATATTTAAATATACTATATAGTTAAATGATGTCAAACTATATAGATATACTCTAAACTGTACAGACACATTTAAACTATACAAATGCATCTAAACTAACAGTCAGCCTATATTAAAGTACATAAATAATTTACTACACAGACATGTATATCAGCTTATACAAGTATACTAATAATCGAACTTTAAAATAATAATAATAATAATTGTTAAATATTACAAATTTTAAGGTAACAAATTAAAAAGTAATATTATATATTAATATTTTTAAAAAATATTATTTAAACAATAGAATAACATTAAATAATATGCTGACATATAGCATACAGATATTGTTACATCAATATAAAATATTCCAAATTAAATAACGTATAATTTATTATTTATTTATTTTATTATAAGCAAAACAATATAGTAATTATTAAA